GCAGCAAACTTGTACATACTGAAGGGAGAGACTTTGCTAGAAGCAGAAGCATCTGTTGCCTCGTGTAGTTCAAATTCTACAATGCTATGGCATCAGAAACTTGGACACATGTCAGAACAAGGAATGAAAGTACTTATAGAGAAAAAGCTACTTCCAGACTTAAGAAATGTATCATTTCCTTTGTGTGAGCATTGCATAACAAGTAAGCAGAACCGGTTTGAAATTCAACACATCAAATTCTAGAGGCAAAAGTGTTCTAGAATTGGTTCACTCTGATGTATGGCAAGAACCAGTTACATCCCTAGGCAGAGTAAAATATTTTATCTCATTTATTAATGACTAATCCAGGAGATGTTGGGTATACCTTATTAAGAAGAAGTCATATATGTTTTCAACTTTCAAAAACTTCAAAGTGCGGGTGAAACTTGATTCTGGAAATAAGATCAAGTGTTTCAGAACATATAATGGAGGAGAATACACAAGTGAATAATTTGATGACTTTTACAGGAAAGAAGGCATCAAAAGACAGTTCATATTGGCGAACACTCCTCAACAAAATGGAGTAGCAGAGTGGATGAACATAACCTTGTTAGAAAGAACAAGAGCAATATTAAGGGATGCAGGCCTAGAAAAATCATTCTGGGCAGAAGCAGTCAATATCACCTGTTATTCGGTGAATCGAGCTCCATCAACTGCAATAGAGCTGAAGACATCAATGGAGATGTGGACTGGTAAACCAGTGATTATTCAAACCTACATATATTTGGAAGTATTGTACGTGTACAACTCCCAAGAAATTTCAAAGCTCAATCCAAATCCAGGAAATACAATTCTTGGGGTATGCTGATGGTTTAAAGGGGTATCTCTTGTGGGATCCCACTGCCCGAAAAGTGATCATTAGCTGGGATGTTATATTTGTAGAAGATAAACTACAAAGAAAACAAGACGATGATAGCGCTGAAAAGTCAGAGACTACACAGATACATGTGAAAAATGAGCTTGAACAAGGAGATTCTTCTGAAGCAGAACCAGCACATGATGAACAAGAACCAGAGAGTTTTGAAGCTCCAACAACTCATCAATTAGATCGTGTGAGAAGATGTCCCAATTAGCACTCAGATTATGTTATAGAATGAAATATTGCATATTGCCTTTCAACAGAGGATGGAGAGCCATCAACATACCAGGAGGCAATAAACTGCTCAGATGTTTCACTGTGGATGATGGCGATGCAAGAAGAAATTGAAGCCCTTCATAAAAATAATATATGGGACCTTATGCCACTGCCACAAGAAATGAAGTCAATTGGTAACAAATGGGTCTTCAAAATCAAGCGAATAGTGATGATCAAGTTTAGAGGTATCGTGCAAGATTGGTGGTCAAAGGTTATGCCCAAAAAGAATGTATTGATTTCAATGAAATATTTTCTCCTGTGGTTCGACTAATAACAGTTCGAGTAGTCTTGGAAATGTGTTCTACATTGAATTTACATCTAGAGCAGCTAGATGTTAAAACATCTTTTCTTCATGGAAATCTTGAAGAAGAGATTTACATGCTCCAGCCTGATGGTTTTGAAGAAAAAGAAAAGAAGAACTTGGTTTGCAAGTTGAACAAATCTCTGTACGGTCTAAAGCAGGCGTCGAGGTGTTGGTATAAGATATTTGATTCCTTCATTATATGCCTTGGATACAACATACTTAATGCAGACCCTTGTGCTTATTTCAAGAGGTCTGGTAATAACGATTTTGTTATATTATTGTTGTATGTGGATGACATGTTGGTTGCAGGACCCAACAAAGATCACATTGAAGAATTGAAGGCACAACTGGTTAGGGAACTTGAGATGAAGGACTTGGGATCAGTAAACAAGATTCTAGGGATGCAAATTCACCGAGATAAAAGTAATATGAAGATTTGACTTTCACAAAAGAATTACTTGAAGAAGATCTTATCACAATTTAGCATGCAAGATTGTAAGCCAATTTCTACCCCTCTTCCTATTAACTTTAAATTATCCTCTAGTATGAGTCCTAGCAATGAAGAAGAGAGGATGAAGATGTCTCGAGTACCGTATGCATTGACAGTGGGGAGTTTAATGCTCGCTATGATATGCATAAGACCATACATTGCACAAGCAGTGTGAGTGGTTAGTCGGTACATGGAAAATCCAGGAAAAGAGCATTGAAATAAAGTAAAGAGGATCCTGAGATACATCAAAGGGACCTCAAATGTTGCATTATGTTATGGAGGATCAAACTTACTTATCAATGGGTATGTCAATTCTGACTATGCAAGGGATTTGGATAAAAGCAAATCTACTACAGGATATGTGTTCAAAGTTGCTGGTGGAGCTGTAAGTTGGGTTTCAAAATTGCAGTCAGTTGTGGTTACATCCAAAATAGAGGCAGAATATGTAGCAGCTACACAAGCCAGTAAAGAAGCAATTTGGTTAAAGATGCTATTAGAGGAGCTTGGGCACAATTAAGAGTATGTCTCTTTGTTTTGTGACAGTCAAAGCGCCTTGCATCTAGCAAGGAATCCAACATTTCATTCAAGGACAAAGCACATACGAGTTCAATACCATTTCATTCGTGAAAAGGTGGAAGAAGAGGCGGTAGATATACAGAAGATCCATACCAAAGACAACATAACAGATTTCATGACAAATGTAGTAGATGCTGATACATTTACTCGGTGTCGATCCTCTTGTGGCCTATAAGATATATAAGGAACATGATGGTACAAGGTAGAAAGAATGGTGTGAAGATATGATTGTTCCAATCAAATCTTCAAGTGGGAGATTATTGTTGAAAAGTCAGCAACATAAGCACCGAAAGTGCCTATAATTAATGCACATAAATTTTAGTTGAATTTTGGAAATGGTACAATCTCACATTTAGTCATTGTACTTTAGGGTATTTTCAAGATTAGTCATTAAGCTTTAACTATAAATACCCTAACCCATTTAGCTTCAAAATTATCCCAAAGCATTCTAGCTTTCTTCTAATACTAGAGAATTTAGAGAGTTTCTTGAGAGTTATTTTCTCCTTTTTATCAAGAGAGAATTTTCATTATTTTCTCATTGGTAGATCGAGAGAAGTTGTAATTCCTATTTTCTTATAGTGAAATTCTTCTACCGTTGCCCGTGGTTTTCACGTAAATTTTGTGTCTCTTTTATCTTCATTTTTTTATTTTCTCAAATTAACAGTTGCGATTTTGCTCTATCCGATAGCCGTCTTCCGCAACAAATTGAACGCCAACTTCATTAAAAAAAACTTCATTTTGGGTACTCATCGAGCGAAATCCAAGCCTTCATTGCAAGGTTGGATTACAAACAACCTCCCAACAAACCAAATGGACACCTTTATTATCCTGTGTTATTCCCCAAATGAAACGTCGAATTAGGTGCTCCAGCTCAATACAATTTTTTAGGCAAAACAACTGTTTGCATCATATAAGACAGGATTGCTGATAAGACAGTTTTTGCAAGGGTAATTTTTCTAGCAAACGATAAAATTTTCATATTCCAACCACTCAATCGTTTTTGCACCATTTGCAATAAATTCTCATAGGACTCATTTGTTACCCGTGAATGAAGAATAGGGACACCCAAGTATTTCCCAAGATCTGAAATGTCGGAGAAGCCAAAGGATGAGCTAATGTGAGTGCGAACATACACAGAAACTTTCATAGAAAAGTACTTTATTGTCTTCGCCATACTCACTTTTAGTCCTGACACCTTACAAAAATATCAAGAATTTCCTGAACCACCTTTAGTTGATCAATAGAAGCTTCTGCAAACAAGATCATATCATCTGCAAAAAAAACAAGTGAGAGATTGCCAGGCTCTGCTTCGAGACCCGAAAAAGTTGTCATCGATGATTATTAACTTCAATTTGAATTCTTTGAGAAAGTCGTAATTGATCGACTGGGGACAAAACTAGTCTAGAACTTAGAAACTCATCTCAAAAGAAACAGTTCTAGTTGATTCATAATTATCTTAGTGACAATTTTATAAATAACTAAAGAATTAAAAATATTTATCTACAACCAAATTAGATAAACAAACATCTAATTATAAACAAATCTAACCCTAAATAATTAATATTTTAATAGAAATTTGGACACTCACTCTAAATGATAAATAATAAAAGTTTATTAAATATATATTAAAGGAAAACATAACTCTTGAACGTATTGAGTAATCTTAATGTAGAAAAGAAAATTTTACTCTCTTTAGAGAATTTAAGTTTAAATAATTGCACCTTTATGACGTGTATACATTGTCAATTAATTAATTTTTTTAAATAAATATTATCTTGTAGCCATCCATGTCATTAAAAAAAATTTTAAAGTCACAACTATAAATTGTGATTTCTTTGGTCAAAATGAATTATATTTTTTTAATTTAATTTATAATTATTTTTATTTTTATAATTAAAAATAATCTTAAAATATTGTATAATAATTGTTGATTTAGTTTTATTTGTTTGAAAATGTTTTTTAAATGTTTATAAATAATGAATTTTACTAAATAATGTAAAAAGCTATAAAATAAAGTAAAAAAATCTCAGTCCCAGACTTTAAAAAACATGAATATAAATTATTATTTACATAATTAATAATTAAATATAAATTAGTTTTAATTAATAAAAAAACAAATGAGAAAACCAGTTAAAAAAGAAAAAGAATGCTTATTCAAATAGGATCCAAAAAAACAGAAGGCAACGAAATAAACGGATAACCTGACGCCTTCAACATTGTGTATCTGTTAAAGGAAGAAAAGAAGCTGATCTGTGAAGAGAGCTTTGCAAATGCCAAGTGTCGTGTTTTGCAAATGAATCCATTTGTATAACACAACTTTCTTCTATTTCAATACCCTCATAAACCAAAACAAAAAAATTTAACCAGTCTCGAAAATAATGGCATTTCCTCCATCTTTGCTTCTTCTCTAATATCTCTACTTACCCATTTCTCCATTTTAATTCTTCTTTCATTTTCTTCTCTTCGGTTTATGGTACTATTATTATTATTATTTCATATTTCCTTATACTAAGCTGGTATTGCTTCTTTCTCTATATTTCCTTGCATGTATTTAAACGTATGTGTTTTATTTATTATTTTTTTTTGTCATTTCACCCTTTTGTTTTTCTGCATTTTAACATCAACTTTTGAATTTTATCATGTATGTTTTTGTTTCCTTTCCCTTCTTCTATATTATTTTGTTTCATTGTAATTTGTTGATATCAATGTTTCTGTTTTTGCTGTTGGATTTAGATATTTTGTTTAGAATCTTGGGCATCTTGAATTTGTTTGGAGAAAAAAAAAACAATGGGTTTTCCTGCTTTTGACCGGATAACTTTGATCCTTTTGTCTTGTGGTAGGGCTACATATGGATCATAAGCTATAAATTTATGACATTGTAATCCATCGTGGTCTCAAAGGCCGGTCTTTAAAGGAAATAAATTTTTCATAGTTCCATTTCCTGGCATACTGTGTGATGTTTATATTGATACCGGAGTTTTAATCAAACCCAATGCTGTCGAGCAGCCCTGCCACGATGGTCAGCTTCAAATATTGGGATGAGTGTGTTGATCCTGAGGATTTGGAAGCAATGTGGAATCGACCTGCAGTGAGAAAAGAGTGGACTGATGTCGGGGAGACTCAAGGACAAAAAGTTCACCTATCAAGGGATCCTGACGGGCAGCCTTATTTGACACAAACAGAGATGAGGGTAGGCAACTTGATTAACATACCATCAATACTTTGCTGCATTTGAAATTTTGACAAGTTTAACCTTAGTAAGTAGTTTTTGATAAAGTTCTAGTGGATAAGAAGTTAGAATTTCTTTTATAACATTTTATCTTCCATAAGCAATTTTGTTTTGGTGGTCAGATTTGATCATGTTCTTTGTTACAAAACATTAGGACGATTCAGTACAAAGTTTTACTTTTAATGTAGCTTATGCTGCTGTTTCAGGCTGTTGCGGAAATTGTAACTAGCAGACATTTTGATACGCATATAGAACCGGTATGTCACCTATCACCGAAACATCTAAACTGTACTTATGATGAAGTATTTCTTGCCTCATTCTAATTTCTGATGCTGTTTTTAAGATAGAACTATCCAAAGTTCTTGATTTTAGTTTCGAATTACCAATCCACAGGGTATGACTTTTCTGATGACATGAACATACGAAGTCTCGGAATTTACATAATACAAATTAACGTATCAACAATTATATAAAATACCTTGAACACGATCATGACACCACAAAATACAAGAACATGACACTTGACAGATGAATTGAAGTTATTATTATTTCCAATTATTGAAGTTTGGGGTTCTCTCTGTTCTTCAGGAGATGATTTCTGCTATTGCAGAACTTGAAAGTAACAGACAACCTCTTGCCATGCAATACGATAAAAAAGCCAAGGTCACTACAGTAGGAATCATGCAGATTTGCCCAACAACTGCAGAGTGGTTGGTCAGGTACAGTTCTATATTTTCTAGCGTGGCTTCACTGGAACTAAGCTAACCCTGCTTTGGATTTATGAAGTTATAGTTTGAAAATTCTTGCAGGGAATGTCATGTTTCATTATACAAAGTTGAAGAGGATCTGGATATTCTATATAGGCCTTTTGTAAATGTATATTTTGGAGCAATGTACCTTAAATGGTTATCAAACTTTGAAAACAAGTGAGTTTGCAGGGAAGAACTTGGATCCATCTGAATATTTTATGAGGTAAATGATTTTGTATAATTTCTCTTGTTGGTTCTGAGTTTGCAGAGTTCGAACCGAAGAGTTTATCATCCGGGCTTATAAGGGTGGTACAAAGAAAGCAACTCATAAATCAACCCTACCGTATTGGAAGCGTTATCTTTCTGTGAAAGAAACTTTTACACCCAGGTTTTACTCCCTCATGAAATATTTTGTTCCAATATCAAAATTTACCAATTACTTCTTGAATTAAAATGTCTTGTACTGCATTAGTTGAAGATACTGTTTACTAGATAATCATTGTCATCCATTATATCTTTCCCATGTTTTGCTTATGAAAATTGTGCTTAAAATAAGATAGCCGAGCATCATTGTCTAAACTGAACTTGAACTGTTGGTGGCAAGTTTAGATCATATATATTTTCTCTTTCAGTAAGGTTAATATCTAGACAAGTATTTTTTTGCCTGAAATTTGAGTTTCCACTTCAATTTAGCATATCTTGTTTAGCTTCTGAAGAGCACAAAAACTTTCCCTTGGATCTTTGCTAGCTTGTGAAGCAGATTTCAACCAGTGAAAATTGAAAAGCGAAAGGCTATGTTAATAGAACTAATGCATCATTATTGGGATTGGTTTTCATTTTTCATTAGGTACAGAAAACATTCTGATGCTCCTCCAATTACTCAAGCACTAAATTCAACTGCTGCACCAGTTTCATTAGACTCAGGTGGTTACCCCTCTCATTTACCAAGGCTATTTAATATAATTTTAGTTGCATATATTATCATTTTATCTCAGAAAAGAAAATTTACTTTCATCAACTAGAGTAGCAGGAAAAATATTAGTGGTAACGTATCAAAGGCTTTACCAATTTAGTTGTGCTACTCTTGTTAAGAAAGAAATATTACCGTTTTGAGTTTCATGAAGTAAAAGTTGATCCTAAAGAAATCAAGCAGTGAAATAGTAAAGATCTGGAAAACTTTAAAATTTTGCAAGAACAAAATCTATACATAATCTTTTAAATTCAACATTTGATTTGTTGAAAATGGAGCACATAAATCCAGGGGAATTTATCTCTATCCTTTAGGAACACTGCCTTCTACATTTTTGTTTTGGATCTCTATATTATATGCCTGTTTTTCGTTTTGGGGAGTTGCAGAGGATGGCTGCCTATATTGGGACTCCAGAGTTTCCCCTGAAGATATGAAACAGATGTGGAATTGTCCTGAAATCTGCAACGAGTGGAATAAAGCTGATCAAAAAGGGGAAAAGTGCTCTTTACCCTTGACAATGAGAAGAAACCATATCTTACTCGACTCGAACTGAAGGTATGAATCCGAAAAAAGATAACCGTGCTGTCAATATAACACTTTCATCACCGTTTCAGAATAAGTGCATTTTCCCTCATTTTTGACATTTTATCAATAGTGCAAATAATTATCATTACTTTTTCAATTGTTACAACGCGTAAGTTATTATTTTCTTGTGCCAAAATGCAAATGTTGTAGGATAAGGTTCAAAACTGAGTAAAAATATGACAATAATTTGGGAACTGAAACTGAGTATACTGCTAATATTACTTGGCTTCAAGGCTTTGTTTAGGGAAAGGATTGTAGGGTTTTGCCAATGCTATCTGTTCCTAAAATTTCCCTTTTTAGAAAATGCATATGATGATCTAATAATTTGAACGTAAATAAATATAAAAATGGAAAAAATGACTTGACATGCAACTATATTATTACGTTAAGTAGTTTATGATTATTCATTAACTGGTCATATGCATGTAAATAGATATTGTTGCCTTTTAATTTTTCCAGGAGTGTTCTTTCATTTTGCATTTCATCTTTATCATAAACGTTCTTTTTTTTGGAACCATTGACATGGATGTCCTGTTGCAGACAGTTGCAGAAACGATTGTTTCCCGGTACTTCAGTACAAAGGGAATAAAACCAGTAAGTATGGAGTTGGTTACTGAAGGCTTTCATAATTAAAAAAATTGAATTTTACCCAGCTCCTAATATTTGTTTCATGTTCTTCCCCCCCCCCCCATTTTATAACGACTGTTGTACTGAAAGTTTTTGACGTTGTTTGCCATAGCTCATCTGTTCTACCAGCCTATTAAATTAGAGACAAAGACGAGTAGTTCATAGACAATTTAGCACTAGAATTTCTGATTAGCCTGTCTACACATGCTCTTGATGCCTCCAAAAATTTAAATGAAAGTAAGAACAACTTGCTATATAAGTTCATAGTGCTATAATATGGGCGATCGGGTATGTTTTTACCAGCAAAAAGTCTGATGTCCACAATTTGCTTTTTGTCTGAAAACTGTTATTTAGTATATTGCTCCCAGTAGGAGAGAAAGAAATGATACGGAATATGAAGCTGTTTAATCAAGCTGTATTCTCCTATGATGTTTGAACATGAACAACATACACCTTCACATACAAGAGCATGAAAACAAATAGGAAAAAACAAATCAGAGACGACTAAAGTTTACATGAACTGATGTAGTGAAAAGAACTGGCATCGATCGCTGATCGGTGTACTATTTGAGCAATATAGGTAGATTTTAGATCAGATTGAATGATGGAATTGGTTGTGTCGTTGACTCTTGAGGAGTTTGGGGTTGACGTTTACTTATCTTGAATACATATACAGCAACTGAACTTTTATGTTTTATGCACTTAACTTCATCTATATTTTGTATTTTTGCTTTGTTCAACTTTTGTTCTGACACTTGCATTTTGTACAGTCAGTACTTTGCGCTCTGGCCGAGATTGTTAGCATGCGCTGTGTAGACGGGATTGAAGGACGAACTGGACTAATGGGAATTGACTACTCCACAGCTTTTCGGCTTTATACGTAAGTGAGAACCTAAATGAAACTTCTAACCATCAATTTATAGCAATGATCAAATGTCTGAAACTTGTAATTTTCATGTGAAGAGAGTTGGGGTTCAGGGATTATCCTGTTGATTACGTAGAAGATCTGACCAAACCATTTGTGTCCATTTATTTCGGTGCGGCGTATTTCGCTTGGTTATCGATGTATGAAGGGAGGTAGGTTTGTTCTCCTGTAATGAATCTTAATGTAGCCTGTATGCTTTATTCCATGGCCTTAAAAAGTTGTGGCATTTTCCTGGGATTGCAAAACAGAGAAAGGAATCTGCAATTTACCGTTCAGGCTTATGTTTCCGGACCGGAAAATGTAAATCTTGAAGCGAAAAGTCCACAATGGGATAAATTCGAGCAAGCTTTGACAATGTATAATGTGAGAAAGGTATATGTACAATTTATTATATGCTTTAACAATTTACTTTGCTATTGTCATAGCCATTCATGTTTTCCTCTTCAGGAACGGAGGGAGGTGCACCGTCATGTGACGTGATGGATATGATTATCATCCGATCGGCAGTTATCTTCTTCAGAAACCTTTTTATTGTTTATGATTATTTCCGACGATTTTTCATTTTTTGTCGGAAAAGGTTTAAACTTGTGGGGAATCATCTTTCGCAACAGAACGCTTTCGTTGGTAATGCTTTTTTTGGTAATATGCTGGGGGCGGCTAAAAGGATTCTGTAAAAATAATTAATTATTTTTCACGATTATTATAAAAGGGGATAATTTAATTTATTTTGTCGAATATTCTATTTATTTTGCCTTTGCCATTTGCCTAGACAAATAGGAAGAAGCAACATGAGAATGTTTATTATTGAACACTTGGTCCACACGGGAATTATTCCAACATCACTTGCATATTCACAGAACTTAAGAGAAAAATCTCAAAAACACAGCACATTCGCAAGCTCTCCGCTTGCTTGCTTAAGTCCAACGGGTTAAACATAAAATATTTCATCATCATCATCTAATATCCTCCCTGTATGAAAGCGTTCAAGCGGTCCAGCTCTGCACGATGCTCACTCACCACAGCACGAACAACATCTCCGATGGAAACCATGCCGATCATTTCCTTCTCATTGATCACCGGAATGTGTCTAATACGGTTATCTGCAAAAATACCCAGGGTTAGTCCTAGCTCGACAAGGAACATCCCAATGGACACCAAGAGCAGATATCGTAGATGGGTGCAGATAATAGTACCTGTCATCAGTTGCATTGCTTGCAGAACTTTGGTCTCAGGTGTGACTGTGATGAGCTTGTTCTACAACCACCATATAATACGATCTTAGAATTGCAAAAACGGGCAATGGAATATCTGTACATCTGATGATCAAACATATGTGATGGAAGTAAAGCTATAAATTTACTCGAATAAAAGCTAAAGGAAAAACAATACCTCTTCAGTCATGATATCCCCAACTTTAGTTGACTTGGATGATCTTCCATGTACTATTATCTTCCTAAGATAATCTGCAAGTATAACACCAAATAGCAGAAATATACTAAGAATCAAAACTGTACCAGACCATAGAATCCTTCAAAATCTATTCTCAATAGTTGAGAAATGCAAAATGAAGCAAACTATAAACGTGATTTAGTGCAGAAGGAATTTAATGGCAAAGATGAAGGGTGACATTGGGATGGGACTAGCCAACTATCAACGTGATTTAGCTCGTACATTATAAAATCCACTTTAATCATACAGACCTTAATTTGTCTGATTCAGACCATCTAATTCGCAACAAATAACACAAAACTCCTAGCATAGGTAGTTATGTTACTCAAACTCACATAGGCATACATTCAATTTGTCTGAAGTTTTGTTCATGATTTGGAGGATTATATCTCCATACCCATATTTGAATATCTGTTGAACATGTCTTCTAGACACAAGTGTTTCAAAAAAAATATTAAGTTGGTACGACATAAATAAGTATACTAGCGAATGCCTGTAGATCATGGAAAATACTAATACATCATTCATTCAAAATATAAAATATTGGTGCCAATTGATTTTATCAAGGTGTAGTTGCTAACTACCTCTCTCTGTGATGATACCGGCAATTGATTTCTGCTCTCCAGGTTTTACAACCACCAAGGCACCGACATTGTGTTGGGTCATCTGAGAAAGATTGAGCTCAATAAGCATGCAAATCAAGTATTCTATGAAAAAGCTGACAATCTACGAAAATCATAAAGACACGTACCGACTTCACAGCATCATACACAGTGTCATCTGTAGTGCACCAAAGCCAGGAGCCATCTGCACCTTTACCTTTGGCTTTCAAAA